AAGTCTTGGCAGTGTAAAACCTGGCTTCAGCAATGTTCCTGGTAAAAGAGGGAGGTAATAGTGGCCTGAGAGTGGCTCTTGGGATCAGTGCATGAATTAATGAAAGTTGGCATGTACCTACTGCAATTAGGAGTAATCAGAAAGCTTCTATTCTCAGTGCTCAAAACTCAAATTGGAAAATGTCTTTGAACATCAGCACCTCTTAGATGCGTCCTGGTGTTGCTGCTAGGACAGCCATAGCTTCTGTGGTGAGCTTGCTCTGTGTCTTTAATTATGAAAGCTATTTGTAACCCTTCTTGAGAAACTTTGCCAGCTCTATTGTTTGCAGCAGGCTTGTATAATTTGGAAAAGAGAGTAAAGAAGCGCCTTTTCTTTGTGCTGGGAAGTTCTATTCAATGTCAGCCAAGTTACACATTGTTTAAAACTCACCATTTCCCTGCTCTGCTTGTGTTTCTCAAAAAACACTGTCAAAAAGCCAGACAATACTTGAACATCAGCCTTCTAAAAAGCCTGGCAAGGCTGCAAATACGAGATGCAAAGGGCTAGGGAAAAGGGAACGCTGCAGGGAGGTGGGGTGGTGGAGGGAGGAGGAGGAAAACTGAGAGAATCCATTGTGCTTCTGCTGCTGTCTCTATCCTGGTGCACGGTGCAGCTTGATCCTGAGGAACCCCACACGTGAGACCTGTCCTGGGATCCCAGAGGCAGAAGAGGGAAGGGACACTGCACGAGGATCACAAGAAGATCTTTCCTGTATGATTACAGAGCTCACTGCTTGCCTCTCTTCTGAATTCTTCCTCACAGATCCCTCTGTACTCAACTTACTGGCTGCCCTGGTGAGAGGCACAAGGGCACAACGATACAGCAGTTTAGTTCTTCTTTCAAAGCTTCACGGACTGTGACTTTCTCTGTGGCTTTTTTTTCCTCACTCTCTCAAATATATTCATGCAGAAGTATAGGGTCAAATTATAAGGAAACATTATAGGGTTAAATTAATCTTTTAGTACGTCCATTAATTTGATGGAGATGCACAAGAGACTGGGTTGATTTATAATGTAAATGCATTTTGGTAAAAGGTATGGAAATGGCTGAAGGAACAACTGCATTAAAAGATGCATGACTCTAATAGACTTTCATTTTAAATGGCTCAAAGAAAGGAAAAGGTACTACTCTTTTGTTAAGCTAGAAATAAATAAATAACACTTTAAGTCTTGGAGCTAATCAGTTAAGTGCTCAACAGTTTCGTTTTTAAAACAAGATCACGCTTAAGTGCCTTAAGCTTTTATTAATTGTGTGAACCCCAAAATCCCCTGTAGTAATTGAAAATTTAATTACATACATTTTTTGTTCTTTTAAGAATGGGAGCTTATTAAACTTTAAACACTTAAACATCTATTGAAATACCAGTGGCTATAAACAACATGCAGTTCTAAATACTAATTAAACAGGAAGGCTAAATCACTATAAAGCTAAACTGAATTTTAAGTAACTTTGCTCTCATAAGTACTTGTATTTTTTTCATGCTGTAAGATTTGCCATTTCCTCTGTAAGGAAGGAACCTACTGCTGAAAAGCAGAGAGACATGGCTTTGTGGGGCTGGTCAGGAAAGCAATGGTCCATGCACCACTGACTCACAAGATTTATCATGTGCTAACAGCTGCATGTCAAAAGGTCCTTGATTTTTGTTGTACTTTGCAGAACTGGGATCGGTGACTTTGATATCTCTATTCTGTTTTTCAGATCCTGCTCAGTGCAGATCTTTGTCAGCTGGTGAAATAACTAACAGTTTGGTTAATTTTCTTTGGGCAGATGTCTGACTTCTCAAATTAACCATTGCCTTTTTGCATTCATATGAGCACAAGATAAAAACAAAAGGAACCTCTCAGTCTAAAGTTTCTTCTGATTTTTGGACGGGCTCTTTTTTGATGTAAAGGTTCACTTTTGCTTCTGCTTGGTCAAGACAACAAGAACTATGTTAAGGTTGAAGTGAGTTGCTCATACATAGACAGAGTGTTACCCAAAACAAGCCTCTGCACAGATTATTTGAGGTGCTGCCCACCACTGTGTCATTATTTATACTAGAACTTAAAATGCCTTTAGGGATAGCAGAAGTAACCAGGTGGGATGAACAGCAGAAGATGCACCAGAATACAAATTCTTCTCAAGGAGAGTTCCCAGCATGGCTTGTGAGCCCGCTCTGTTCATCAGGCAGATGCAATTCCCCTCTCATCAGAGTATTACTGTAAATAAACATGAAACACTTGATGTGTTTGTCTTCTATGGCAACTGCTGTGTTTTCATACTACGCTTAAACATTCAGAGATAGATGTGATCTTCCCTTTGACATGTGGGCAAACACAACAGTGAGTTTTTCTCAGCATAAAACAGGAGGAGAAGCTGCACTTAGAAGAATGCACAGTGAATCCAGCTACTCCTGCTCAGTGGGTAAAGCTGAGCAAACTGCCTGCTGCAGCACCCCACACTGTAACCCCAGGTGATGCCTCCCATTTAAAACAGACTCCTTGCAGCTGAACATCCCTTAATGGTGGTATAAGTTGGAAGTGAGGAATGGCATCTTCACTTTCCCCCAGCCAGATTGATTCTTCTTTCTAGAAAACCAGAATGGAAATCCTACCAAACTTCTGATTAATATATGAAATACAAATACACTGTCATCCCTCTGGAAAGGCTGTTAGAAGCAAACCCCAGCCTTTTCCTCTTTGTGTCACTAGATGGCCCCACGTCTGAAGCAAACATCCCACAAAGTACCTGCTACACTGGGAGACCTTTTTCCTGCTCTGCCCAGCACTTTTTACAGGTTGGCAAACACAGGGAGAGGTATTAGCCTGGAGCAAAGGAGGCTCAGGGGAGACCTTCTGGCTCTGCACAGCTCCTGACAGGAGCCTGGAGCCAGGGGGGGGGGCCGGGCTCTGCTCCCAAGGGACAAGGGACAGGACAAGAGGACACAGCCGCAGGTTGCCCCAGGGGAGGTTGAGGTTGGCCCTGAGGAGCAATGTCTCCCTGGCAAGGGCTGTGCAGGGCTGTGCCAGGCTGCCCAGGGCAGTGGTGGAGTCCCCACCCCTGGAGGGGTTTCCAAGCCCTGGAGATGTGGTGTGAGGGACACGGGGCAGTGGGGACCTGGCACTGCTGGGGGATGGCTGGACTCCATGACCTGAAAGGCCTCTTCAAACCAAAACGATTCCATGACTCTAATTCTAGGAAAATAAAACAATAGCTGACTGTGCTATCTCAAGTGATCAAACTAACAGCAGAATATCCAAACTAGCTACAGGATATCCACAGCTGTGTGCAGGGCAGAGGCAGCACAGGGGTCTAATGTGGCAAAGGAAGGGCACACTGAGGAGATGAGCTGGCTTGGCAGTACACTGCACCAAGCAAAAGCACCTTTGCTTCTAGGAGTAAATGGTTCTCCAGTTCTGCAGTTTAATATAATGATGTTTCTCTCCAAGAGACCGGGAAGGGTAGGGTAATTGTCTTCCCATATGGATATTCTGGTGGGATTTGAAAACAAGCCTTGGTCAGTAGTAATGTTTTGGCTTATTTTTGTGCCAGGCATTGGGAGAAAGCAGCAGAAGTCCTTGCTACAGATGCTGGGACTCTGGTTGCTGTATGAAGAGGGCAAAAATGTGTGGGTTTATCCCCTGCAGGTTCCTAACACTTGGGCAAGGATTCTTCTTTGGGATGGGTGCAGGAACTGTTCAGCTGGGGTAGAAAGGAGGGAAACAGTGGGTGAAAGTGGGATCCTGCATATGTATTGCTGTACAGTGTGACCAGGAACACCTAATTGCTATGCAAGCAACAGAAACTACTGCTCCTTCCCCATCCCTGAATAGTGCCACTCTTCCATGCTCACATTGGGCCCTTGTAAGGAATCATAGAATGATAGAAAATCTCAAGTTGGAAGGGACCCATAAGGATCAAGTTCCATTCCCCATGTTGAATGCCAACAACTAAAAGAAAAAGCAATTCATTTGCTTAAATGTGGGTTGGGCCATACCTGCTTTTCTTGTGGTCCCAGTTTCAAATCCCAATGAGGCAGACTGAAGTTGGTATGCTGACTTCTGGAGAGACCCTAATATCTCAGGATTTCTCTGCCAACACTCAGCATATATGGTGTGTTTCATCTGAGTAAGGCTTCGGTCAGAATCTTACAAGATTTCTGTTTCCCCTGCCCCTTTTGGGCTCCTTGATGTTGCATTTTATGCCCCCCAGGGTGTAGCTTCACTGAATGATGGCAAAGACATTTTACACTGCCTTGGTTTTTAGTGTTGAACCATTTGTGAAGGATTTGGGGTTCCCCAATCTGTGTGAAGAAACCCATAGAACTGACTCTGTATTGAAACTTCTGCATGTTGAGACCTGACTTTGGTCTCTCCTGTGTTAAAATGGGGCAAGTTTGGTGTTAACCCAAACTACTAATTCCTCTAGTGCTCTGTTTTGTTTCTGTTTATAAATCAAGGCCCATGAAACGGGATGTGCCAACAGGATTACAGCTGGTCTTTGTACTGTGGTCCTGCAGATCCCAGACCTGTTCTCCACCACCCCCTTCTCCAAGCACTGAGAAAATGGGTTTCTGGTTTTCAGAGGGAGGGACACAGCCAAGTTAGAGCACAAGATTTCCTTGCACAGCCCTCGGAGACTCTGTGCACGAGGTCTGCAAGAGGCCTACCCTGAAATTCACAGCAGCCTGAATGTGTGGGAGCTCCATAAATACTAAGGGAAGCAAGTTATTTTTTCAACACTGAAGTAATTTCCTCTTCTCTAGGAAGAGGTTTCTACCCATGGAGTAGCCCTGATAATGTGTGAGAAAAATTACACTGAAAACCACTTTCCTTCTGTTTATTAAGAGTGAGTTGTTTTACAGTTCTTACATGCTGTTGTCTTAATTTGTTTGTTTCCACAGGCTACATTTAGATGCTGTTTACAGCAATAAAGAGAATATTACATTTGATCTAGAGTTCTGTCTTAATTCACAGGATGAGATGCGAACAGAAGCTCGTCGAAAAAATCTCCTCATTCTAATTTTTCATTATTTAATGGAGGAAGGGTATGTTTTTTAGATAATAGTGCTCTGCGTTTGTGGGTTTGTGTGTATCTGACCTCCCATAAGGTGTCCTTCTGTCCTTTGCTGGGTGGATGAACAGCATGGACCTCAGGTTTCATGTGAATCAGAGGTAAACTGCTATTACCTATCTCTGCAGTTTACCTTGCTAAATTGTTTCAGTTTCTCGAACAAAAATATCCTATATAATTTAAAAATACTTTGAAGCTGTCAGCAAAGGGTTTTTAAAGAGAATTTATGCTTTTATAATAAGTAGAGTTTTGGACAGCTTAAAAATAATGTATACTTACTAATGCCATTGTTTGCTTTTTTCCCCAAAATTAGAATAAGATAATAACTCTCAAATTTTTTATCTTTTTGTTTTTTTTTTTTTTATATTACCAGGTATGTCGATGCTGCAGATGCTCTAGAACAAGAGACAAAATTAAGCTTACGTGGCTTTGAAGTTTGTGACAACATTGATCTTGAGACAATTCTGATGGAATATGAAAGCTATTACTTTGTAAAATTTCAAAAGTATCCTAAAATTACCAAAAAGGTCCTGGACACTGGTATGTGGCTGCGTTCAAAAAAAAAGGGCTTTTATTTCCAATGCCTAAAATGTGTATTTGTTTGATGAGATCACCACCCTTCTCATGTATGTCAGCAATTAATGTTTGAACTCTCTCACAGCTACAGAGCTAGAGTTATAGCACATAGGATATAAGAATTAAGAGATGGGCCTTTGAGCCCTTCTGCTCCTCCTTCTCTCTTTATATAGAAGAACAAGAAGGTGTTATTTTTCTTTCTTTTAAAAACTGCTTTGATATTGTAAAAGGACATGTAAGCACAAAGTGTTATGGCATAGATATATTCACTTTCTTCTCGTGGGGAGAGAATAGTAAGTCAGGTCTATTTTTTTAATTTACCTTTTAAATTAAAATAAACCACTTAAGCAAAATATTGTAAGTTAGCTCTTCTGAGCTAGTGCTTACAAGTTTATCACCACCAGTCTCATTAAATGTCTATTTGCCATATTTACATATACTAAAGGTAATGTGCCAAAGTAATAGATTTATTACAGAGCACTTGAAGTCTGAGGTATAAATGAATGATACAGAACAAGGCAGATCAGAACATGAATGTTTTGTTATGACCCTGAGAGCCTGAATCGTTTTATGCTTGAGCACAAAATGTAACTTATAGAAGCCCTAAGAAAGACAGTGTAAGCATCAGTTTGCAAAGAGTTTGGAGGGTGCAGAAAGCACCAAATTCTCTACCTATTTGTCTTGTGAGAAAAATACAATCATTAAAGAAGGGGATGACTGGCCAGGGAGCATCTCTGAGCAGTTGTCGTTTCATATGGCTGCCAGGAACTTTGAAATCACAGGTAAATGAAACATTACATTAATATAATTAAATGACCTGTACAGGTGAAATAATTTTGAAAAGTACTGAAGCTAGTAGTCATCATTACGTTCATGGCTGTGTAGAAGGTCAGTCCTAGCTGAAAGCAAGCATTATCTGCATGAAAAAGGGATTTACAGCCAGAAACTTGATTTGTGTTAATATGAAGAGAAGCAGTCTTGCAGGACAAAACCAAAGGGACTTGTTATTAATCAAGAAGGAATATAAGAAAGCATTTGTCATATCATACGTAGTCAGACTGAGTGGTAGACGAGGTCTGAGCCATGATCCAAGTGAACAGTTCCCAAAAAAATCCAACTCTTAGACACTTACATGCTCTTAGCACCAATTTTTTGGACAGTAGAGCTACTCAGACGTGGCACTCTCCCCTTACACAAGCCCCAAGCTGCAACCATGCTGGCAGGGATGTATCACCTAAGCAGCCTCACTCCTGCATGTGTCTTTCTAGAGAAGCTGATGCCTACTTCTTCCTTACCTGCCCTAATTGTGCCTAAATTTGGGGGCAAGAGCATTGTACAGAGAACACTGATGGGAGATGTTTGGAACACATTCTGGAATAATGCATGCTAATACAATGCAAGCCCTCAGCTTTATGAGTTCACACATGGGCTTTGCAAGTTCCATGTTTTGTGAGAAAAAAAGCTTTTCTGTGACAGAAATTGTTTCTAATTGTAGAATTGCAAAAAATAATCTAGTTTGACAACCACCATCGCTGTGTGACATTTATGCTCTCTTGGTATGTTGAGCATGATAAAATTACTATTAAAAAGAACAATGTAAATTCTTTCTTCCCAATTTATCAATGAAAAAAATTACTAGCGTTAAATAAGCACACTGTGTGATATATTAAATTATTGTTCTTGATCTAATTTCTGGTGGTGCTCATTTTACTGTGAAAATGATACTAGTTTTAAAATGTAAGCAAAGAAACCAGAGATTGAATGAGCCTAAAGTTTGACAAGCCCAAATCCCAACTGTTCCCTTTATTATGAATTTGTTTTCAAAACATTTTTGCAAGCTTGGATTGCCTATAATTGTGCTGTTCCTGTTTATGCATTGTTATTTCCAAGGTCATTAGTGTGTGCTCAAAAGTATTTTTGAAAGGGGGAAAAAAAAAAAAAAAACAACTTGCCCTTTTTTATATCCTTAATTATTTTCTATTTTAATATTAATTTTGCCACAGTGGAAAACAAACAACAGCTGAATACTGGAGGAAGACCAAGAAGGTAAGATAAATGTTTGGGATTTTTTTCTGGGCAGAAAATTTTCTTCTAAAACCAACATGCAGTGTGGTGTGATACCATAGGAATACTAAAAACCTAGAGTCATGCTGCTGGCTGCGTGTTGCATTTTTCTGTATCTTTTAGAGGAAAATAAAGACTTATTTCCCAAGTGGAGATGCAGACAATTTACAACGTTTCTACAGGGTGGATAAAGCAGGGTGGTGTGTTTGAAAGCAGTAAGCTTTGAGTTTTGCTGGGATTGAAACTGATGCCTTGACTTCAGTAAGAGCAAAGTCAGCCCCAAATAGCTTTATTTGAAGTCTGCCTTTTAATCTTTTGATATTTGGAAGTCAAAATAGAAGTTGTGAAAGCCTTTCAAGATATTATGTTTTTAATTCTAGGGCAGCAAGCTCTTCTCAGAGTCTCCCAGGGCTCAAACATCAGACAGTGCAACGACCGTTATCAAAAACTTCCCCCGGGAGTACAACAGAATTTAAATCATCCATCAAGGACAGCCCCAAACAGGTTTAAATATGTTTTATCTTGGCAACATTACAGTTGAAATTAATATGATCTTATTTTGAAAGCATGTATGCAGCAAGAGTTACACAATTAATAACGAATGGGTTTTACCAGTTATGTGAATTAAGGATTACATATGCAAGACTTCAGGAGAATGTGCTTCCTGGCTGTGAGTTGAGGAGCAAGTCACAGGCAAAAACTAAAGGAAAAGGAGTCATATAATCCAGTCTGTACTGAAAACAACCAGAGTTTTACCATTAGCACCAGCAGATACATCCTTTAGTGCCAGAAAGCCAAAGAAGGTCTGGTGTCAGCTGTAAGCATCTTCACAGTGCATAAGGTGTTTGAGAGTGGGGGAGTAATTTGTGATTTTCAGTTTTATGAGTCTCATGCTGGTAAGACTGATGTGAAAAACTACTGTTTTATCATCCCTTCCAGAGAAGGGAGCAGGAACAGCAGGTTGGTGGGCAAGAACCATGTCTGTTAGACCTTTTGAAGAACTGTGAGAAGGAGAGCCTCTTTTTCTTTATTTTTTTAAGTCCTCTTAAGTCCTTTTTAAAGTCCCTATTCCTGGATAGGGTGGCTCTCACTCTGACCAGTTCTCTCCCTCTTTAAAAAACAGCTTTTGGGCACTACAGCAACGACTGCTATGAAGTGAGTATCAGTTATTTACAGTCCTAAAATGACTGCTCATCTCTGAGTTGACATGCTGTGCCTTATATTTGCCTGTTGTTCCCACTGTTCGGTAAGTGTTTCTTCCCATAGTTATGTAAAATGCAGATTTCTACAACTCTGAATGTAATACTAATACTAATACTAATACAGTACACAAAATAACTTGAATGCTAAACTCTAGAGCTCTGGCTTTCACCACTGCTGTCTGCAGTCAGATGAAGCCTCACTGAGAGTACAGCAGTGTTTGTCTGACAAACATGGGATTACTCTTGCAACTTCCATGTAAGGATACAGCTCATCTGGGCGTGTATGAAGAGGTGGGATGACACCTGTAATGGGATATCTGCAACTCATCTACTTGACGACACATCTGGTTTAAAATTGATTTTTTTTTTCTTTAGAATAATGACAGTGCAGGTGCTGTGGAGCAATCTGACTTGGGCTTGAGCGTGTCAGCCATCAACAAAGCTGGAGGAGACAGCACTCAACCAAGAAGGGTTGGTGGAAACCTAGTGTGTGATTTATGACAGAAATATGTATGTAGAAAAAACACATGGAATTTTTTCACAAATCTCAAATGCGAGCTTTGTGTGTCTATTTTCAGACCAAATGTTCCTGTGTAATTAGCTGAAGGGTAATTTTTTTTTACTTGGGCAGTTAATTTTTTATATAGGAAGCTCTGCTTGCATTACATAGTATTTCAAACATCACCAAGAAGGAAAAATATTTTTAAATCTAGCAGTAGTAGCTAAACTTGAAGATAAATTTTAAATTCCTGAATGAGATGATAAGAGTCTCTGCAGTTAAATTGTCTGTTAAATTAAATCTGACTGCAGAGATATGTGTTCTTTACCCATTGCTACCACAGATTCTGTGGTCAGTTTTTGGTGTATTTAGGACTGTATGTGCAGTAAGGAAACTAATTGCTGTAATGGCAGGCAAAATCTTGTCCCCTGCAGTTTTAACAGTGAAAGCCTATCAAAACATTATTTTCTCCTTTAGGGCCAAGTAATTGACTTCCATGGGGTGATTCAGGATGCTGTCAAAATGTCATCCAATGGAATAGCCTTGAACAGCTTTAACTGTGATCCAGACCCATCAGTAAGTGTTTCTGTTGGTATTGCCATCCAGTGAACATGAACATCGGTTTTACATAGCCAGGAACGAAACAAAATACTGCAGGGATGTTGTCTTTGTTCCCAAGTGCTAGAAAAGGGCTCAGATTTCTGAGTGGTGTATTTCCTTCTGGAATGGACAGTCCTACTTCATACTGGTCTAATTTGTTGGCAGTTGTTTACTCTTTGAACGTGGAAGCAGGCAACAGGTACAAATGATACCTTATGATTCACACAAATAAAACATTGCAGAAACTTAGAGAACTTCTGAGGGCGAGATTCTGGGTCCTTTGAACTCAGTATGGTATTTAGCATTTGCCTCAGCTGAGACAAGAACTGAGCTTAAATAGCTAAGAGGCATTTTCAGTGATCACTCCTTGACACAAGCCATAGCTTCTCAGAACCTACATCCAGCCTTACATGGTGCCACTCTGCCTGGCAACTCCTGCCCCTGAAGAGACTTTGCAAACAGAGAATGTAACAATGTGGTGATCCACAGTTAACTGTTTAACTCTTAATCTGTGTAGGGCATGTTTAGGACTACATGTGCAATAAGATACAGACCTGGTCATTTTAATTTTATTTCAGGATTAGATTCTGTAAGATTAAAAGATGGTTTACTGCAGATATAACTTACCTGAAAATCTTTGTTATTATCTGTATTTTTACAGCTTTAAGAGTTGATATTATTGTGATATATCAGCCTTTTTGACCCTGTTTCATAGTTCATCTGTTTAAAAATAATTTAAGTCTGACAAGAACTTATTTTTATCTTTTTTAGGAGCGATTACTGAAGCCCCTTAGTGCTTTTATTGGCATGACTGGTGAGATGAGAGAACTTGCAACAGTTATAAGCAAAGTAAGATCAGATCTCCATTTCAGTTGGAAAGAGATCTTGGTTATTTTTGTCATCTGAGAATGCTGCTTGTTTCTTTTTACTGTCATTGATAGCACTAATTATTGAATGTGCAAGCTGTTTCTCTTGCCACACGACTTCCACCAAGTCATTTCATCACATGTAATGATGTTTCTTTCTGACACACAACGGGAGGAAGTAATTAAGACCATTCCTTTCTAATGGGGAACAGGTAATCTAATTGTGCTGGACCCACGAGACTGTCATAGCTTTTCCCTTTGTTCTTACTGCTACAGACGATGTACAACACTGCACTGAAAAGAGAGAGGGAAATAGTTTAGCTAATATCAACTATTACCTAATGCATTCTCTAACTGAGATCCAACAGTGGGGAAAAACCTTGACTGAACTCTGTGGGTGCAGTTCCCATTCAAGGCACTGGGCTCTGTTCAGTATGGATGCTGTGCCAGTATTGCAGCTGTATCCTGAGTCTGACTGTGTCTACCAGATGATATCTACCAAATTTATTAGCTGCTGATCTTCCCACTTTCTTTTTAATACTAGTTCTATGCATTTCACCATGCTGCCTGCACAGTCTGGACTCCTCATCTTTTCTCTCCTTTTACACCTGCCTATGGCCCAAATTCTTGGTCTGCAAGTTTTGCATTTGCAGTTTAGTAGAGCTGAAGATTTAAGAAATTTCCAACCTTAAAGCAGGAAAATTCTGATTTATTTCCGTTCCTGTCTGGCTCTTAATTTATAATAAACCTTTAAAATAGTGTTGGTTTTTTTAGCTAAAAAAGCAATAGGGTTGCTTTAACCTTCATTATGGTATGTTTTTTAAATTGTGCTGATATGTTCCTAGTTGCTATGGTAATCAACACTGTGTAAATCAATAAAAATAAATAGCATGTGGTATCTATTTCACAACACAATCTAATTTAATTTGAAAACAGTTATGGAAGTCTCTGCTTAGTATCATAAATCTGATTCATCTTAATTTGCTGTTAATAGAAAGGGAAAGTGTAATCGACTCTATATAAATAATTTTTCTAATTGTATTAAATCAAATTTTCCCTTTGGATATAAGCACATAATTTTTCTTCAGTCTCTGGGGACTGCCAGTTTTTATTGGAGAGCAGAATTTATCCCAAGTATTTGTATTGAGGATATGACATTTTCTGCAGTCTCTGGAATGCAAAGCCACAAAATATTACTGTGGCAAATGGAAAGATTCACAGAAGATTTGGAAAGTTTGATGAACTAAATGAAATTAATTTAGTGAGTGCTTCAGGGCACAGACTAATTACTGACTATCTTTTGATAGATGCTTAGGAGGAAATTTTCCTCCTGTTACAGGGTTTCTCACGGCTTTTCTTGAAGCATATAAAGTCTTGCATAGTGTGGAATAGCAATTTTTCAGTGTTACTTGTAACATAAGTAGTGACATAAGTAATAGGCACAGCTATAGAGTTACAGAGCATCAAATTTTAAACAAAGAAATATTTTCACATTGCACATGTTTAAACTGTGAAACTTGTTACTAAAGAATAAGCATGTTCAGCAAAGAGGTAAGAGAAGTTCACTGAAGAATCAACATCAAAGGGTGTCTGAACTCAAAGACTAAGATGTAATTTTAATTATTGAGTCCTTAATTTGCAGACTTTGCTGGGTGTAAATATGAACCAACATGTCACTCCTATTGCTTATTCTTTTGTTAAAATATCCCACACTTGGCAGCATCAGAGGCAAAATATTAGGTTTGGTGAACCTTCATATCATGATGGCTCTTTATATGTTTGGGATCTCCAGGGAGATCTTCTTATGGCCCTCTAGTATCTGAAGGGGTCCTACAAGAAAGATGGGGAGACACTTTTTACAAGTGCTTGCAGTGATAAGATGATGTGCAATGGCTTCAGACTGGAAGAGGGGACATTTAGATTAGGTGTAAGGAAGAAGTTCTTCACTGTGAGGATGGTGAGACCCTGGCCCAGGTCACCCAGGGAAGCTGTGGATGCTCCATCACTGGATGCATTCAAGGTAGGTTGGGTGGGGGCTTTGGGCAACCACCTCTAGTGGGAGGTGTCCCTGCCCATGGCAGGGGGTTGGAATGAGATGATCTTTAAGGTCCCTTCCTACCCAAACCAGTCGATGATCCTACAATGATCCTGTGTTAGTTGTTTACTAAAACCAGCTAAGAGAAAAGACTTGAGAAGCAGATCTGCTCAGCATATACACTTGGCTGTGCATACTTCCCTATGCTCTTGGGGAAACTAGGGCTTGTGGGGATGCAGGGCATAGTCATGATTGCTGTCTGTGCCTTCCTCTTGGGAGGTCCCTGGTATTTAGGGTTAAATAATACTGTTTGCATCACTTAACAGCACTCTTACTTTAGAACAGAGACAGTTCTTTTACTTTGCCAGAGGTCATTATCCCAGTGCAGGAGAAGTTTTACTAATGGGATGTGATGTGTGTTGCAGGACATTTATCTTGATAACCCAAACGTGAAGTGGGATGATATTATTGGACTGGATGCAGCCAAAAGGCTGGTCAAGGAAGCAGTTGTTTATCCCATAAGGGTAAGGCAATAAATAGTTTTGAGAAAACCAGTGTTGGGTTCATTAGCATTTTCCTTGTAGTTAAAGTGGTGTTCCAGAGGTCTCACTGTTTCTGTGCTTCTGTAGGCAGTTCATGGTAGAACTGTTCCTGTTTCACCTGACAACAGCACACACATTCTCCTATAAGAAAATGGCCTTTCAATATTAAAATTATAAGTGTTGTGTCCTATTCTTTGGCATCTTTGGCAATGTAAGAGGTGGTGGATTTGGCCTATGTCAATACCATGGCAAATGGCTTATAGAAGAGAATATCAAGCCAATTGCACATGAAGAATTCCAGTAAAACTGATTTCAAGTGGTAAATACAGAATTTTTTCTCAGTCCTCAGATCACATATATTATATTGTACTGAGGGGTTTTTATCACCATCTCTTAGTTTTCCTGTATGCTTTAGGAGGAGTGGAGATAGATGCTAGAATCCCTTGCATTTTGTTATAGATGATACATTTTTAATCCTTGAATTACTTTTTGGTTTCCACAGTACCCACAACTGTTTACTGGCATCCTGTCTCCCTGGAAAGGATTATTGCTCTATGGACCACCAGGTATGGAGAGTGTCATGCCATATCCATTTATTTATCACTGCCTCTAGATTGGTCCCACAGATGAATTGTTGCTGCTAGTTAGATCAAGTGTGTTAATAAACAACATGCTCTGCACTGTGGAATGGAAGGAGGCAATGTTAACTGATTACATCTGTCTCTGACCCTCAAACCCATCCTTTTGCCTTTTTCACAACCCTTGACTATTTCTACACCTGAGTCTTCCAAAAACAGTACTTACACCAACCATACATAGGAGTGAGAACGTGTATCTCTGTCTTCCTCAGCTTGGACCATATTAATCAAGTTTGGCTTGACCTAATCTTACAAAATGTGAATAAATCTGCATGGACTCATCTTCTGAAGGAAAACGTCCTTTCTTCTGCCTTTGGGGGTGGTTTTGGAAATGGAGTGGCAGCTTTACCCTCTGCTGTGCTAGCTGGGTGTCTTCCATGTCAGCACAGCTTCACTGCTCCCTCTGCTCCACTCTGACACAAGCATGGCCACTGAGAGTGTGGCTGGGAGAGTCTGTTTGCTCCTGTGAGTGTTCAGCTGTACTTGCCACAGAAGGCATCTGACCATCTCAGCACGTGGTACTTAAGAATCTGGGGAGCACGTCTGCAGAGCTGTACTGCCTGAGTGTCTACAGATAATCCTGGAAGGGCACACAAGTGCTGAGAGGGTGGAACCCCTCTGCTGCAAGGCCAGGCTGAGAGAGTTGGGCTTGTTAGCCTGGAGAAGAGAAGGCTCTGGGGAGACCTTCTTGGGGCCTTTCACTGCTTCAAGGGTGCCTAGAAGAAAGATAGGGACAGACTTTTGAGTGGGGCCTGTTGTGACAGGACAGGGTGATAGTTTTAAACTAAAAGAGGGAGATTTAGACTAGATGGAAAGAGAAAATTACTTACAGTGAGGGTGGTGAGCCCCTGTCCCAGGCTGCCCAGAGAGGTGGTCACTGCCCCATCCCTGGCACCATCCCAGGTGAGGTTGGATGGAGCTCTGAGCACCCTGCTCTAGCTGCAGATGTCCCTGCTCCCTGCAGGGGGGTTGGACTGGATGGCCTTTATAGGTGCCTTCCAACCCAAAATATTCTATGATTCTATTACTTTTTCTGCTTTACTGTTTTTGCTGGACTGGTGGTAGGATGAGGGGAATTATTCAAACATTTGCATTGTATTAATTTGGAGAGTGAATTTCTTCTGTGTTGCTGTTTGTAGGTACTGGAAAAACCTTGCTGGCTAAGGCTGTTGCCACAGAATGCAATACAACCTTTTTCAATATTTCAGCATCCACCATTGTCAGCAAATGGAGAGGGGATTCAGAAAAACTTGTCCGGGTAAGAATTACTATATCTCCTTCATTATACTTTTACAAAAACCAAGTTCTCACCTAAAGAACTGGAGTTTAACACAGAACTAGAGTGTGAATATTTGCTTGATACTCGTGATCTTTTCTGCCTTTGAGAAAACATGACACTCTGTTTCTATCTAGTTCTTAAAATGGGAATAACATCACTTCTGCAGAGGTCTCAGGAAGGATTCTCGCTGTGGAATTTTAGTTCTGTAATGTAAGATGAAGCAGATGAGCTGAAGGCAGCAAAGATTTTTGACTCAGTGAGTAAAAGACAGGCAAGCAGAGTGCCAACCTAAAGTGATTTTTTCTTAGTGACCCCTTCAAAGCACTTCTCATCCTTTCTGCAAGGGTTGGCTCCTAGGCTCCCTACAAAATGTTATTTAGATTCCTAAATTCCCTACTATTCATAGTCATCAGAGCACAGAACTTCCTTGTCACAAAGATCTTAAGTCAAACACAGATGTAGTGTTGTTTTAAGGAAGGCAGTTTGATGGTAGGTGTATTTTTAGATGTATAGGCTAGCGGGTAGCATCCTTGCTCTGAGGTGCCCATCCTAATCCCTGCATGATGCCCACCATTTCAGTGCAAGAAATCCACAAGCTCTGAGCCTTCCTTTACTCTCATCTCTGACGCTGCACTTCAAATGGATACAGAGCTCCTGAAACTGAATAATCCTAACAGATTGCACTGGACAAATGGCATCGTGAGCATTGTTAATCACGCTGGAAATATAGGCAATGTCTGCAACATAATTGTTCTTCGTGTGTCCTTTGCCCTTTCAAAAGGCACATTTTTCTTCTGACATTTGCCTCCTACGTTATTGATCCTCGTGACATCTGTCTCAGTAGCTTCCTAGAAGCTTCCCTTCTGCCAGGAGTAGGGATGGGACAGGCTGTTTTTTGACACCACCATCCAAAACAGTTTCGTGAATACACTGCAGCATTTGACAATAATATTGAATTTGTGGCATTTTACCCTGAGCTGAGTTTTTTGGCAGAATCCAAAAATTAAATAAGACTGTGAGTTGGGACAACTCTAAGAAAAGTACTGTGTGAATTTATATCCTAAAATCACATGAGGTAGGTTCAGGAGTCTTCTGAAGTTGCGTGAGGTATCTGTGGGTTTCGTGGCCATTTGGAGGCATGTCTGCTCATCCCATTCTCCTCAGTTTTTAGCTGTGTAGGTATGATTTTATTTTTTAGATTTGTAGTAAAATTACAGCCTGGTTATATAGGCTACTTGTGACTCTGTGCAAATAATTCAAACCCAGCACTCCATATCCAACGTGTAGAAAATACTGTATGTCTTTTTAAATTTTGTGGGTTTCGGTGTTCAAATTAAAAAGTGATGGATTAATATATATTATTAGTGATATTTATGTAAAAACTCAAAGAACATTTTACTGAAGAAGACCAAACAATAAGTAGTTACTGCTAATAGAAGCCTCTCAATGTTTACAGAAAAATAGATGAAACTTCTTTCTCCAAAGGGCAGACCCAGATTTTATGTGTCAGCTTAGTATTCCATTTTTTAATCTTGATTGTTCAAGCAGTTTATGTTTGTTTTCACCAGGAAAAAAAATAAACAAAAGAATTGCTTGATTCTTATTGAGAGAATCAATCCATTTTCCTTCATTATGATTCAGCTGTCTTGTAATTTATTTTTTTTCTCAAATCCTTATTTAAAAAAACTACAAATGGAGCAACAACAAAAGACGGATGTTTAATCTCTGATAACAATTTAGGAGTTCCCAGAATCCCCTGATGGATCGTTTTCTTCTATCCTATTATTTGCAGGGTACTCTGATAGGATTTAGCCAGGAAGATTTACATATAAAGACAGGATTACAAGGCTGTGTTCTTTATATCTCCTTTACAAACCTTTCAGAATTTGAGAGGATTCAGGAACCCCCAGCCTGGCCAGAGCTTTTCTGCAGCAGATATCCCCTTCTTGTCCTATAAGGTTGGAATGTGGGTGCTGTTACTCATCTCCTATGCCAGTGTCCCTTCATGCCTTTTTGTGCTGGTTTCCCTTTTCTTTCACATTTACTCTTCTCTCTGAACAGGTGTTGTTTGAGCTTGCCCGGTACCATGCTCCTTCCACAATTTTCTTGGATGAGCTGGAGTCAGTTATGAGTCAAAGAGGCACTGCTTCTGGGTAATGGATGAGACCACTTCCTAAAGCTTTAGAAGAATATTTGTCCTCTTTTTAATACATTTGTTCCATAGCGTCTGTGTGCTCATGTGCTGACCAGTGTTTAATCACAGAGTGTGCCTGTTAGAAACACATCTTAGCTAAACTAAAGCCTGAGGCTACTCTATAAACCTCAACAGGAGCATGGTTGGGACCCTGAAAGACTTGTCTTTTAGATATTATTGACATTGTAATCACTTTGAGTAACAATGGTAATTTTCTTGACTTCATGGAAGTGTTGGATATGCTGTGGGGATTTAAAGAGCAAGATGTGGTGGTTGTTTCATTCACTGTGAATGGGATCAGTAGAGAAACAAGTGTGAGGGACAGGCTGTGTGAAGATTAGCCAGGATCTATGGGTCCAGCAAGAAGAAGGGACATGCAAGAGGGTATAACTAGTAGTACTGTACTTTAAAATAAAGGATTTTAAGTGGAAATAAAGCCAATATGTGGAAGAAACTACAGATGACTTGTTAGAGGCAAGTAAGAAGCAGATGGTTTTGTAACACTTTGGACAGGCTTAGGCATAGCAGCGTAAGAAGGAGAGTACACGGTGGGATGGCATTTCCATTGGTGGGACACATTTTGGTGGCATTGTCAGGACATCCAGATGCAGGAATGGGAGGATGTTGTTATTGTCATCCATGGTGTACACAGTTCATAGTTGAAAAGAGATTGAAAAGGTTAGGGATGAGGAAGAAGCAGGAGAAATATAAATATATTATTATAACCATTAGGAGCCCATTACAGTGGATTTTATGTACTGTAAATTATATGCTCACAAAGATTTATAAATAGAGTATGCCATATTATAAAGATACAACTTGTAATAATTGTCAGTTAATAGCTATAAATTACGGACCAAATTTTGCCCTCATATATTTTTAAAAGCTCTCATTAACACCACTGGATTCTATATTTTAATAAGAATTTTTCTCTATGATTATGTAGTTACTTTTATATATCCTCATTAAATATTGACATAGCACCGACGTGTGGATGCCTTTGCAGAAATAAGCCATTAAACCTGAATTGTAGCTCTAAGGCCCTGATGTTGTCTCTGGGTTTGATCCAGGAGTTTCCAAGAACCCCACATCTGGGACCAAGAATTCAAATTAGTTTCCTGCAAAATTGGTTACCTGGATCAGGGCCAGAATTCTTAGCACTTTGCTTAAGTTCCCCCTTCTCTTTTTGAGGAAGGATAGTTTTCTGTGTGGTCTCTGCCCCATTTTTAAATTCATTTTAATACAGTATATTTTTCTTTTGATAGAACGTTCTGCAAAATATTGAATTCACTAGTAGGTGTCTCTTTGTGTGGCCACATCCAATTCACTGACAGAGGAATGCCAGTAGTTGCCCTGAACAGGCAGGTGTGTTAGTTGTTTAATGGCAGCATTCACATTTATAAAAATTCTCCTACACAGATCAATCACTCAGCCTTAGCTGTTTTCCAGTAAACGTCAACACTGCGTGGAGATTAATATGAAGAAAAAAAAATTTAAAATAAATACATTCTTTGGATTCAGTAATAGTGAACTCTCCTCACTTTAATGCACTGAAAAGAGTCCATTTAAGTAATCATTAGAAAGCTTGATTTTAATGCTTAGATGTTAGCTAATGGAGCTTAATCATGCTTTGAACTGGGGCAAAACTGTGACAAGGGCTCAGTTGCTGTGAATGACACTGTATAAATAAAGATGATTACTTTAATGCACTGAGCAAATAATGTTTCTCTGAATCTTGGTAGTGGTGAACACGAAGGAAGTCGGCGGATGAAAACAGAATTACTGGTGCAGATGGATGGCTTGGCCCAATCTGATGATCTTGTATTTGTTTTAGCAGCTTCCAATCTGCCATGGTAAGAGATCCAGAGAGTACATTTTGAATACATTTGCATGAGCTTCTAAGCACAGATAAAGATTTTATTTAGACTTTTGCAGAAAAGCCTTGATATTTGGTTAAAGCATTTAAAGATTAATTTGGAGCTTTTACTTTTAAACTCTACAATTCTTGCTATTTGTGCCACATGAGAATAATCCATAATAAAGTCAACATATGCTGGTGCCACCAGCTGCTAATATTTAAAGTGGAGTATTTGACTTTATAGGCAAGTTATTTACTATGTTTAAGCTAAGAAGGGTTTCAGCCTGGAACTGTAAGGTGCTTAAAACATCTAGTGCTTAGAAAGATACTCCATAAATAGGGATGTTGGATTTTATTGGTGTCCAATGTGACTTTTAAAAGTTGAGGGACAACCCCTAACATTCTGTGATTCTGTGACAAAAATTCTTCAGTGTCTTTAACACAATTTAGAACAGAAGAATAAACAGTTTAAGATTGGAACTGGGGCACTTCCTTACATTGGTTCTCAAAATGGGCAGGACATGTATTAAGAACAAGGCAAACTGGAGACTAATCATTTTCCAGAGTGGAAGCCAACCCCTGCACAGGGCATTGAAGGGCAGTGAAGTGCTGGGCTTGTTTTTGAAGTTAGTTTTCATAGGTTTGGAACTAGTGTATGGATTTCTGCCTGCTCTGAGATTGCCCCTGTGCCTGACCTACTGATCCATGAAAACTTCAGTGGAAGATCCTATTTTCCTACAGAGAAATCTGTGCATTGAAAGCAGAGAGAGGAACCCCAGCAAAGGGAAACTGGAAATTCTCTGTTTGGTGAGGGATTGTCTCAGAAGCAGATGTCTGCAAAAAAAAGATGGGTTAGGCATAAGGTTTTTTCTTCCTTTCCCTGAAGTGTACAAGAAGCAGAGAAACACAAGGTGTCTGCTGGGGGCATACTGTCTGATGGGTAATGTTTTGGCTGTCTGCTGAGCATCATAGCACTGAGTTCTTTCTTGATGTCTGTGTCCCTAAAGGCCTGCAGACCTAAGTGGGCCTGTTCCCCTCTCACATGCAGAGGTGGCCAAGCTAGGAGTCTGAAAAGGAGAAGACAGCAGTCCTGTTTCCAGGGAACTAGAAAACATAGTCTGGGAACTGTTTAGTGGAGCCTAATGGGAGGTGTTTCCAGGAACCACCTCGTGTGAGCAGCATCTCACCAGAATTTCAGTGGCCTATACTTGAAATTTGACTGGAAGGCACTTTGTTCATTGACAGAGCAGGGCACCTAAAACTGTCTGGGAGCAAGGGAGGGCTCTGCACCCACAAGACGATGGACTTCATTCCTGGGTTGTTTTTCATGTTTAGTAATTAATTTCTGTCTGGTTCTCGTGAGGTTGCCATAGGGAGATGTCTTGGAAAAGCCACTGTGCAAGTTTCCCCCACTATGAGACAGTCAACAGCAAAACAACTGAGAGGGGAGAGCCTCAAGTTGTACCAGGGGAGGTTTAGGTTGGCCATGAGGAAAAATGTTTTCATGGAAAAGGTGAATTAAAAGGATAAATTAAAATTCAGAGTCTTTCATCTGCCTCTCTTTACGGCCTGCCCGGGGCTTTCAGGCACTTGAAGTTGGAGAATGGCTATGTAGGTACCTAAAATTTAGGTAGAAATTAGATGTACAAGATAAGCTGGTTCCTACCCTGGACCAACAGTGAGGGTACAAAGCCATCCCTGGATTTTATAGCCATAGTACTGGAGTCTGTGTGTTGGTTTGGGGATTTATGCCTTGGACAAATTCAGGAATTTAAATCACTACAAAATCCACTCCATTTTGTGGTACTGAATCTAAATGAAAGGAACTGAAAGGAATTTGATTTAATTATGTTCTGGTTGTATAAGGAAATGCTGAAAAACGAATAGCTACTGTGTGTGTGAACAATTAAATTTGAAAGAGAATGAATACATGAATAACCCATTGGTCTCTTTGTGTTTTATTAGCAATACACTATAAATGTTTATGTTTTTGTATCATTGTTACCCTTTTCAAAAGAGAAGCTCTGAGCAGCTCATTGTACCTTTCTGTGGTCTCTTAAATGATGGTCTCCGTGTGGCTGGTGCTGATCTGAGGATCTTGCAGATGTGTGAATGTCAACATGAGGCTGACCTCTTTGTGTGAGAGTCCTGCCCTGTCCTGCTAACATACATCTGCCTTATGCAGCTGAAAAACACTCCTAGAAAGACAGGAAAAATTTACAGAATACACTTTTGAGTGCTTTACACACTTGATTGTGGATCATTTTGAAATTTTGAAGAGCTAATTTCTTCAAAACTTCTTCACTGGAACATCAATAGTGACACGGCTTTTGTAAGGGCGATCCAAAATGACAAGATTTCTATTTTGAGGGAACTACTCCCACACAAAACTGGCAATTTTTGTTGGGACAAGGCTGGCAGCTGAGCTGTTGTGAGAAGCCAGCTGTGCTTTCAAAAGTTTTGTACCTGTAAGCTTACAATTTCCTTTTGGACCTTCTCAACGTAGCTCGTGGACAGGTTGGATTTTACCCTCTTTAAAGCAAGTCATAGAATCACAGAATGGTTTGGG